CTCTGCCCCTCCCTCCGCCCCGGCCTAAATCTCTGGGTCTCCACCAGCCGCACGCCTGTAAACTCCTCCGCCTCTTTCGCGTCCAAATCCCTGGCCACGCTTAGGACTTGAAGCAAAGGATGGCCGCTTAGACCCAAACATAGAGGAATGATCAAATTGCATCGCTATGTCATCAGGCCCAAAGGACCTGGAAATAGAATGCGATGACATTTTGATAGTGAACTGCATGGGGAAAAAGGATGGACGGTCGTTTTCTTGATACTTGATCTAAAGGGGCCCACTCCGTCCAAAAACTTCAATTTGCCCCCAAGTCCCCTCAAAACAAAAAACTTCCGGTACTGGTAGACTCCCTTCACAACCCATGGAAAACAATAACACATATTATTCTGCAAACTGTTTAAAAAGAAGGATAAAAGAAAGCAACCGTGTGGGCAGGTTTCCCAAAAGCTCAAAGATCTCCATTCGCTAGGCGGGTCTCTCGGAATCCCTGTCTACTCATAGGGGGTATTCCCATCCCCTTTTGGTTCTCCTTTGGGCAAATTCAAAGCAATGGGGTGCTATCTAGCACCCAGTACTTGTCACCAGGTAAAAATTATTTGAGGGTGGACCAGGCACTACCTTCACCCTCAAACTACCCATAAAAATGGGGGAAGCATTGCAGCCCACAAACAATGGTGATGTCTCCCTTTTTCAAGGGTAGCTTGACGGTCAAGAATCAGTGCCCAGAACCTTCGTCACGCCCGTTCGCCTGAGGATGCACTCCAGGCTGGGGATATCATCCATTCACCTGGGAGCCAACAAACAAAACATGGGTGTCACCCCAAAAAACGGTGTTTGTCCGGTTGATTTCCGTAAACATCCAGGTGAGAAGGGTTCCCTCGAGAGACACACACACACACAAACAGACACATGCAGAAATGTCATAGTAGAGCATGTGTCAGAAGCGTTGCAGCCTCCTCAAGGACTCAACATGACTCAACCCTCAGGAGGTTTGAGCTCAATGTTTGCCAAATTTGTGTTTGGCAAACAAACCTGCCCAGGGATTGGGGAAAAGCAGGGTAGTAAGTGCTTGGTAACCCTAGGTTACAATCCATTCACAAGTCCCCTAAGAGAAGCCGCCCTGTTCGTAGGAGGTCTCAACAAGTTGCAAAACCACTTTGCTGATTCAGCAAACCACCCAAGCAGACCAAAGGTTGCTCCAAAAACTATGAATCTAGCAAAACCACACCAATGTTCTACCCTTTTTGGTTTGGTCGTCTTTGAAAGGCTCAGTCATCCCACCAGCCGCCGCTGGCGTCTCTCTTCGGGGGTACATCTTTCGGCCCTGGATGGCGGACCATCCCCGCATTGTCTCGTTCTTGGCCTGCACCGATCGCTCCTCCAAGAAGCACTTGTCCCACGAGCCATTGCTGTCAAGCCACATGTTCAAAAGCTCTACCTGGAGTCTCCATGACCCTTTAAAAATGGGGTCATTACCCGAAATTAAGGGGTTGTGACCCCTTTTTCTAGGGGTCATGGAGGTTCCAGGTACCTTTGAGGCCAGGTAGAACTGGACAGGGAACTTGGCCGCCCTGACGTAGGGGTCCCATTCTCTCTTGCTGGTGGAGCCTGGGCACCTCTCTCTCTGACTCAGGCCTGGGAAAGTGTACCTCTATGTGCCAGAAAAACATGAACCGTTTGGGTTGCCTCACCAACACAAGCACAAACAACAAGTCAAAACCAACATCAAAGCAGCAACAGCAGTCTTCAACAGCAACCCGCAATAGAGGCAACCAACAGGAGAGTAAAACTGTAAGCAACAACTGTAGAGGAAGGTAATCGCCAAAAGAAGCAGAAGGCCAAGGCCGCAAGATATGCACCAAAACTAGATTTGGAGGTCTTTTGGCCCCAAGCAAAGGGGGACCCTCAAGAAGTACCCAAAACTAGTTTTAGACTACCAAAAATAGATTTGGAGGTCTTTTGGTACAACCCTGCAAAATATGCACCCAAGCAAAGGGGGACCCTCAAGAAGTACCCAAAATCGGTTTTAGACCACCAAAAATGGATTTGGAGGTCTTTTGGTGCAACCCTGCAAAATATGCACCCAAGCAAAGGGGGACCCTCAAGAAGTACCCAAAACCGGTTGTAGACCACCAAAAATGGATTTGGAGGTCTTTTGGTGCAACCCTGCAAAATATGCACCCAAGCAAAGGGGGACCCTCAAGAAGTACCCAAAACCAGTTTTAGACCACCAAATCTAGATTTAGGGGCCTTTTGGTGGAACCCTGCAAGATATGAACCCTCAAAAAGTGCCCCACAACCAGTCTTAAACCACCAAAGCTGGTTTTGGGGGTCTTTTGACAACTTTGTAAAACAAATGCACCCAAGCAAAGGTGGACCCTGAAAAAGTGCCCCAAAACCAGTGGACTGTTGGTGGAACCCAGTAAAAATATATACATATATAAAGTGTATATATATATATATATATATATATATTCCTTGCTACCTTACACTCACACACACACACACGTTTCGTAGTGGTTCATGTTCTACCAAAACGTGAGTTTTGAAAACGCAAGTTTTTAAAACAAAAGTTGCAAGTTTCGAACGCGAGTTTCCGGTACACTAAGGTCCAGGATGTAACCAGATTATTAGACAGGTGATGGAAAAATCCTGAGAACCGAGACGCAATCGATGCATTCGATGGCGCCGGTGACCCCTAGTAAAATTTACACCCATGTTTTACGGAGGTTTGGGGAAACATCCATTCCACAACCACAAGGCATTTTCCGGATAAGATGCTGTGCATCCAATTGAACAGGGCTGTTTTCTGAGGGATTGGCATGAACCACAACTGGTGGCTGAAACAAAGGAAGCTGTCGGTTCAAAATCAGCTTCCAGAAATGCTTGGAGAAACTCTTAGGGAACAACTAACCCAGGGACTAATTTGAGGTGGTTGCACCCGCCTGGACAGTTCTTTGTTCCCCCTATGTCTCTTAGGCTGCCACAGACAATCCCTGTTGGTTGTTTGCTCCAAAAAAGTCGGGGGGGGGGAGGGGCGTAACCCAACCAATCGAGCGGCACAGCATTTGCAGTGCTCCAACTGATTATTTGGTGCGGAATCAGAGTCCCAACCTGTCCTTCTCGCCTCTCACTTCCTGAACGGATTGGACAACAAGAATCCAAACTTTTTGTTCACCAGTACAATGGGCTCCCCCAAAAGCTTTAAGTCCAGGAACTCAAGGAGTGAGTTCTGCAAAATCTGAAGCCACGGGCCCTCGCTAAGGCCCACACTCAGATCGGGGCATGGCTGCGAGAGGAAAATGCATCAGCGAAGGAACAAATAAAGGTGATCACCTGTTGGGTGCATGACCAAAAGTGGTTGTCAAAACCAGCAACGTATTGCAAGGTGTGTCTCTAAATGTGGGAACCTCTGAAATGCACGGTTTCTCTCCGTTGCCTTTTCACGCAAACACAAAATGGTAGTCTCAAAAGAGACATACCCAGGTCGGCTTTGGGGCGAGTGACACAAGGTGAGCATGGGGAGAAGTAGAGGAACATTATTTGCAACTCAGCAGAGGCTTTCACGCATTCCAACTTGTATCGGTGGAACGCCGAACCATCTGTGTTCTTGTTGGTGGCACTAACACGATTACTCACATCAAAGGATATCCCCCCAAAGGGAGGGTCCATTCAACATGGATGTGTGTTTGGTCTATACTGGATCACTGCCCTTTAGTTTAGTAGGCCCCAGAAAAAGGGGGGGTGCAGGGGAGCTATTGTTAAAGCTATCAATCGTGGGGGACATCCTACGGATCCGCATGCCCCGGCAGGCAAGCCTTGAGCAATGGCGCGGAAAGTGCGTTTGCTGATTTCCAGTGCCACAGCAAGGGGATGGTCAACATCAGTGACTAATAGTGCCATGGCTCTGAATCAGTGTTGGAGGGAGGCTCTACGAGGGCAAGCCTCAGTGTGCCATCTGAGTACGTCTCACATCACCCCTTGGGATACCCCAAAGCACATTCTGAAGCATCCACCCTTTGGCAAGACTCAACTCGACCAAACCTGGACGTATGTTTGGGGCTGGTAGGAGCGGTTGTTTCAGGTACACTCTAACCATTACACTCTAACTATTGTACCTATTGGCTTTCTCCTTCAATATGTTGCGAAGTTCCCTTGGGGTTCTTTTTAGGGGACCTAAATGTATCTTACATTTCCCAGACTCAAAAGGAGCGTGCGATATAGGTGCTTCCAGAAAGGAAGCCGCGTGCACTATTGCCGCTTAAGCCTTGGTGACCCTTGAGGTTTGCAGAAGCCTCCATTGTCATTTTGAACACAGCCATCCCCTCCTTTTGTCTTCCTTTTGGGCAAGAAAGCAAACATATTGATGGTTTGTTAAACTGTTTGAAGGTGCCATTTTGTGGGCTGCTTAATATGGGAACTAAGTGGGGTGAGTGACGTCCCTACCAACGCGAAGGGGCTTTCTGACCATGGCACAAACCTGGGCAAACAACCTGAATTCGCAAACTGGAACTAAGGAATCTCCGGCAAAGAAACCTTCACCATCTGGGTTGCTTTTCCCCCTGCAGGTTGCTCTTCCCCCTGGGCAGAAGGCCTAACATTGTGTAGGTTTAATGAAAACGCCATTTGTCTCCAAAACATCTAAGGGGCGGTCACACAAAGAACCAGCCATGTCGTGGGGCCTGAGCTCGCTTTACCCCCGAATCGGTGAACTCGCATTTCGAAGAGGTGATGAATCGTCACTTTATCGGAACGCCATACAGCATTGATCCGTCAGGCAGGCCAATTACTATCATTCCCAGAAATAAGCATTCCCGAGAAATCAGAGAACCTAGCGAAGTGGTACAACGTGATGTTTGACCCTCGCGTCCAAGCGTCCTGCAGTGCATCAAGGGATTTGCACTCGTTTTACCCCCCAAATCGCTCAGTTGATCCTAAAAAAGGCAGATTCTCAGAAGCTCACCAAACGAGGGCCCAAAGAATCTGGAATGCCGCCCGTCCTGCGTGCCAGCCGGAAAGTGGTCCAGCATGAGCTTGGCGATGCCTGTGCGTGAGGAAACTCGACCCAAAATCCAAGCTGCAATCATTCCAAGGGTTTTTATAAACACCTTTGGCCTTCGGGCGTTTACAACCAAATGATTTTGAAGGGCGGCCCACAACAAAGGGCACCCACTGGAGACCTGTGGAGCAAACAGATATTACCCTGCCGAAAAGGGGGAATCTGATTGGAAGGGGCACCCCCCAAATTCAGAGGGCGGACAGCTTTGCCGCAGCTTCTTCTGGTCAGGGCAGTCTTGCTTCAGCACCAGTTTCACCTCCACAAGCTTCCAAGCAAACTAAGCTATATAAATATTACCCCCCAAAAAAAAAGAAAAACAACGCGGCACCAGTTTCGAACACTGCAAAATCAAAGCAAACGCACCCAAACCTAGGTAAGCACAGCCACACAAAACACACAACAACCAAACAACCCAAGCAAACGAGCGAACGGACAAGCGACCAAACAAACAAACGGTACACAAATGAGCGAGCGAGCAAACAGCAAAAAACAATCAAACAATCAACCAAACAACCAAACCACAAACTATGTAACAAACAAACAAACTAACTAACAAACAAACAAACAAACTAACTAACAAACAAACAAACAAACACACAAACAAACAAAACAAATACACAAACAAACAAGCAAACACACACACACACAAACAAACAAACAAACAAACAAACAAACAAACAAGCAAACACACAAACAAACAAAAAAACAAACAAACAAACAAACAAACAAACAAACAAACAAACACACAGACAAACACACAGACACACAAACAAACAAACCAACAAACAAACCAACAAACAAACACACCAACAAACAAACACACCAAGCAAGCAAGCAAGCAAGCAAGCAAGCAAGCAAGCAAGCAAGCAAGCAAGCAAGCAAGCAAGCAAGCAAGCAAGCAAGCAAGCAAGCAAGCAAGCAAGCAAGCAAGCAAGCAAGCAAGCAAGCAAGCAAGCAAGCAAGCAAGCAAGCAAGCAAGCAAGCAAGCAAACACACAAACAAACAAACAAAACACAAACACACAAAACCAACCAAAACAAGCAAACAGACAAGCAGCCACCAAACGAGCGAGCAAGCAAGCGAGCAAGTCAGTGACTTGGTCAACGTTTAACCCTAAGCGTTGGTTTAAGTCCTCTCTACCACTGTCTTTCTTTCTCAATTGTAAGGATGTCTCCAACGGTACCCAGATTCCCGCTCTTATAGGGTTTCGTTGCTTGGCTCTTTATCGTTGTACGGCGATTTATGTTTGATGCAATTACTTCCAACCTCCACAATCGTAACCTATTAGTTCAAGTGTAGTGAACAAAGTACACTCCTAACAGCTCCAGCTCGAACATCGTGACTTGTCAGCCGTTGTAATTAGACAACGTAAGGATGTGACCAAGGCATGCAAAGGGTTATTTCTGTTTAACAAAAAAAGAAGCATCGTTGCTTGTTGTATATAACGCTCTTTTTGTTCTGCTATCAACTGCTACAAGCTGCGTTTCCTGGCTGGAAAGGCTGCTTCCCTCGATAGCTAATGTTTTTAGCTCCTTGTTGCTGCGTGAGTCAACAGAGCAGTTTTGAACAAAGGTCCGCCGAATATATGCTACACTGAAAGTAGCATGTTTGTTGAATACAACGTCTGCTTTACGAAGAATGTCTTAGATATCAGCTGATCTCCAGGATCCGGTTCGGAACCGGATCCTGTTATGTGTCAAAATTAGACGAATCCAGAATAAATTATTGTGTGTCTAAACTGCACGTTTCCTTTTTGTCCCTTTAAACCACTGCGAAAATGGGCTGGAGTCCTTCTGACCCTTCAAGCATGGCGATGACCCCTTTCTTTTGGGCAACCTCATTTCGTTCGGGTCAGAAGGAGACTCCAAATACTCTCACAATGGATACCTTTCACCTGCAACCACAAGCCTCCACCCATCCCTCGAGAAGTCGCCTCGGTGCCCGAAGGCAATGGCGTGCCAAAGCACCGAGTGCCCCGAGGCGTCCTTGTGCCGACCTCGCGCTGGGATCCCCCAGAGGACGCGATCGCTATTCATCAACTTTCCGGGCTTTGGCTTGGAACCCCCAAAGAAACCACAAAAAATGATAGGGGCCATTCACTCATTTGCGCAGAGCCAGCATGTGTGTGTGTGAGCCAGCATGTGTGTGTGTGTGAGCCAGCATGTGTGTGTGTGTGTGTGGTGTGTGTGGTGTGTGTGTGTGGTGTGGGTGGTGTGTGTGTGTGTGTGTGTGTGTGTGTGTGTGTGTGTGTGTGTGTGTGTGTGTGTGTGTGTGTGTGTGTGTGTGTGTGTGTGTGTGTGTGTGTGTGTGTGTGTGTGTGTGTGTGTGTGTGTGTGTGTGTGTTTGTTTGTTTGTGTTTGTGTGTTTGTGTGTTTGTTTGTTTGTTTGTGTTTGTTTGTGTGTGTTGTGTGTTTGTTTGTGTGTGTTTGTGTGTTTTGTTTGTGTTTGTTTGTGTGTGTTTGTTTGTTGTTTGTTTGTGTGTTGTTTGTTTGTGCTTGTGTGTGTGTGTGTGTGTGTGTGTGTGTGTGTGTGTGTGTGTGTGTGTGTGTGTGTGTGTGTGTGTGTGTGTGTGTGTGTGTGTGTGTGTGTGTGTGTGTGTGTGTGTGTGTGTGTGTGTGTGTGTGTGTGTGTGTGTGTGTGTGTGTGTGTGTGTGTGTGTGTGTGTGTGTGTGTGTGTGTGTGTGTGTGTGTGTGTGTGTGTGTGTGTGTGTGTGTGTGTGTGTGTGTGTGTGTGTGTGTGTGTGTGTGTGTGTGTGTGTGTGTGTGTGTGTGTGTGTGTGTGTGTGTGTGTGTGTGTGTGTGTGTGTGTGTGTGTGTGTGTGTGTGTGTGTGTGTGTGTGTGTGTGTGTGTGTGTGTGTGTGTGTGTGTGTGTGTGTGTGTGTGTGTGTGTGTGTGTGTGTGTGTGTGTGTGTGTGTGTGTGTGTGTGTGTGTGTGTGTTTGTGTGTGTGTGTGCGGAGTGACAGAATGCCCTGTCACCACCCTTTCGGTTTCTCAGCAGGGGGCTTGAGGCTTCTCATCAGGACTCAGGCCAACGAAGACGCCTGATGAGAAGTGTGATGCAATCCGGGACGCTGGATTGTGTACCTGCATCGGTTGTGCAATGTCCATTTGGCCCGTTGTTTCTCTCGCTGTGTGTGCTTTATGTTGGATCTGGTAACGTTTTCGACACTAAAGAGAAGCCAAGTGCCGTGCAAGCCGAAAATCCACCCACTCGAGACTCATCAGTTGTACTCGAGACTCATCGGTTGTACTCGAAAAATTAGCACTCTCCATCTGGAGTTTAAGTGTGTACACCCCATTCGTGGGGAATCCTCGGGTGTACCCATTGTGTGACCCCGGGCCGGCTCTGTCGGAAAATTTGACCTCAACGTGCGTGTCATAGAACAGCGGAATTTCACATTTAACCAGGCACGAGGTCTCACTAAAGGGAAGACAGCGGTCAGATCATAGAGACGTCTCACTATCGCTGTTTGCTTGCCATTTGTTGGATTCGTTGATACCTTGCCGTTGCATGGATTTGCTTGTTGTTTGATACGTGTCTCTCAAGATGGAAGCGTGAAGATTGTGAGTCGATTGCGTAACCATGTCTCGACGTGATGATCGTGATAGATCCAGGACTCGGCGCAGACGTGATCGGAGTACTTCTCCTCAGGCTCGTAAAGCACACCGACGTGAACACAATGACCACCACGTCTCGGAAGGCATGGATTGGAACAACCTGGTATCTTGGCCACACAATTCCGGCTACAACTCTGCCAACAATTTCCCAATGATGCCCACCAATTTTCAATCGACTCACAGTCCCACGCAGCAATTCCAACACCCAGCGATCAACTACATGATGCCGATCCCTCCAGATCCCACGCCAACGAAGTTCATGCCACCCATGATGCCACCACCGGTCACTACTCCACAACCTACACCGCCACCTGGACCTCCTGCGGCTCTACCGGTTCGCCCTCAGAAAGCCTGGCTTACACCATCGCCTGACTGGACACCTGGAGATGGCATGTTTGATGTCAATCAGCTCTACAACTTTAGCCTGCCCATGACCGTTGCCAACACTCCGCATGGCAACCTGCGTGACATGTCAGGCATGGATATTCGTGACGTTCGCCTGGTTCAGGTTATTCATGGGGGCCTCACCAACTGGCTGCTCCGACCGTTCGCTCACGGCAGATTCGTGACGTGGGAAGGCTTTCGCACTCGCACCGAGGCCTTACTTTGGAGTACCTGTTCCAAACTACTACGACGATCACAGTCTATCAACCTGCTCACCCTGGAAAAGGACCTTGCCAACTCGCTGGGTCTCAACATCGATGACTTCAATCAGCGGATCAAGGTTCATGACCATTTGGCCAGCTTGGTACTTCAATTTCTTCAGCAACACCACGCCTCTCTCACACCTTCCACCCAGACAGATGACATGGTCAAGAAGTACAATGATCTAAACCGTGCGCATGAGCTGCTCCAGGCTCAGTATTCTGCATCGCTGCGCGCTTCGACCTCTCCCACGATGGCAAGCCGGAAAGATGATGCAGAGTTGGTTACACCCACCGGTCAACCACACGCCATCCTCGTCACCTGCCAGCTCCCTTCCTACAGCCAGCGCAGCGGCCCTTGATGGCAAGTCGTTTGATAGCGCGGTGCAACCCCGGATCATTCAGTCTCTTCACGGAGTGTCTTCACCGCCGTCCAAGCCAGCGGCGTCACAATTGCTCACCATGAACAGCACGCCGGAAGAAGTTGTCAAGTACTACACATGGACCAGTGACCAGCCACGCCTTTATCTCAAGCAATCGCCCACAACCACGACTTTGACGTCACTGGTCAAGTGGGCCAATCACCCGTCCCGGCTCAACGGCAACAAGTCCTTAGATTCCATGGCGACGCAGCTCCTTCAAGCGCGTCAACGCATGCCGAAAGGTGACGCACCTACTCTCGGGGTGATGGCGGCTTCGTGGGGACTGGAACCCGGCTATCTCACCAAGCTCACTGAGAAGGCATTGAGTCACCTCATCGTGACCGCTCGCCTACTCAGCGGATGAGCAAGCATCTTTACGACCTTCGTTCTCTTATGAGCCCGGAGTGGCAACCGTGTCACGGATGAGTCAAGGTTAAAACTCGTCCGTCATCTTTCTGCGTTGCATCAGTTTGAGCTTGTACTTGGTTGTGCTTGCATTGCCTTGTGTGTGATTGTCTGTGCAGCTTGTATCCATGTCGCCGCCTTATGGTAGATTTCATTGGGTGCATTTCACCATGTTGGATGAGCTTCGCCGCAGTGGAGTCTATGATGATGTTGCACAATGGCAGTCTCTGGACAACTTTTTACACTCGTTGACCATGTTCTCTACGTGCTGGCAATACTGCTTCCCTGGACTACCACCACCGTCGATACCAGCTGATGAGTACGAATCTATCACACAACTACCGTGGGCCTCATTCTGGAAGTCTTAGTTGTGGTTCGGATTGCCCTTCAGATTCCGAATCACGCTATGTCACACTCTCAACACACTGTGGCCAACAGGTATGAGATTCATAGATGTCGATGCACTGCCTATTTATTGATTAGTTTCTTACAACGTCTCATTTCCCAAGATCATGGCTACTTTCCGCCGTTCTTTGAAGTCCTCCACTTCTACAAGGCCTCTCTCTTGTGTGAAATCATGCACTCCACTTTTGCTGACACGCGACATCTTCGCTCGTTGCGGACACGATTTCCGGACCTCTATGACTTCATTCACGATCCAGGTCATCATCAACAACCGTGTGTCTACATCCGACTTTCCCCATGGCACACACCTTACTACGTTGGTGCGACTGATCAGGATGTTCTACGACGTGAACACTCACGCAGTCGCAAATTTCTACAACTACTTCGAGGACGTCATGCCTTCTTTGAACCCGCGCTTCACTACTGGAAGCGATCCAATACTTACTGGCTCTTCTGTGCTGTTCCGGTTGAGATCAAACTTCCCGTTTCCTCGGTTTGGGTCCAGGAAAGCAAATGGCAATACCTGCTACGCCCGCATTTGAATGCACCCTGGGTACACAGACTTCTGCGAAAGGTGGGCTTCCGGGAACACCTCGTTGATTTTCGACGTCACTCGTTGTCGTCTCCCACTTCCCTCGGCTTGCACAAACGCTTTCGACGACGACTACATCCGGATCTTCAACGGCAACTACGTCCTGACATGCTGGATGACATTCAGGCCCATTACTCTATTCTTTATCAGCTGGGATCCAATACAGGTGCATCGTTCCAAGCCATGCGTGACCTTCTGTCGGCAGCTTTCCCTCCTACTCAGCTTTACTACTTTCTGCGGCTCTCCGTCTTTGTCAACGAGCCCTTCCGCTCCAAGGCGCAGAAACTCCTCGCCCAGGTGTTACGCAAGCGACAGCTACAATCACCCACCACTTTGACACAACTACTCCTACCGCCTCTACATGTCCGGAATTGGAAAGCTCTACTTGGCACATGGTTACAAAGCTGGATTGCTTCTCATCGTGATTTGTTTCCTTCCCTTTTCCTTCCAAAGATCCGGGTGGTGGAAACTCGCAGTGCCACGTTGGGCGACAAGATCTACAACTACCGCACATGGCAGCGCAGATGGACTCCTGAAACATCCTTTCCGTGTCGCTGTTTGGACATCGATGATCACCATATACACCGAGCACATGGACATGCTGTAATGGTTGATGAGTTCTCACGCATCAATGCGGACATTGACATGGAAATCATGGCCGCATCAATGAAGGATCAGTATTTCGGTGATGTCGACTTGTTACATCAACGTTTCACCACGCAACTTCGCAAACTTGCTCGTCGCTGGCATGTGCATGGTTCCAGTCTTCTTGTTGATCTGCAGCCGGTTTTGACTCAGTTGATGGACACTCATCGAGCTAACCTTCAAGATCGTGCTTATTGGTCATCGACATCGTTGCAGCGCACCGTGGCTTCTCTGTCATCGTGGGTTGTAATCCCCGCGGATCA